TCATCTCAAACACCCCCCGCCAAAATCATACAATTTGAGGTTTGTCAAAGAGCAATGGAGAAAAGTTTACTGAATATAAAGAAACAGATAGGGTTAGAAATATTTACATTAGGTACAAACTAAGATGTAACTGGAGAAAGGAAAAGGCGGACAGTAGGTACAAGAGATAGGAAGACTAAAACTGGTTGACGGCAAGGTATGGTCAAGAGTAGGGCGAGTAAGAGCAGAATGGAAGGAGGAGGCCTTTGTCGGTATGGCTATCGCTATTGGAAGTAACAAAGTTTGACCGTAGTTGCGCCCTTGTGATAAAAAATAAACTTTTTATCATAATTTTAAATATGCGCGGAAGCCGGCTCTTATCTTGTTTCGTTTGCCTGTTATAAATCATATGCATATCGCTGAATATTTGTATACCTTATGGGGTATGGCCATAAAGTGGCATGGTTATAGAATCAAATATCAAAACAATCAAATAAACCATTAACACTTTAGTGCTTTAAGTACTATTGTTAGTATAGGTTGTAAAAAGGGTTTTAGATCACCTATTTACCAAGTAGGCATTGTTTTTACATACAGACCCTTAAATCCTGAGGTTGATGGTTTTGCCTATTTTAAAAATCAATTTTAACAGACAAGTCAAAATATATTGTAAAACTGATTAATTTGACCGGAAATACTTTATGCAAGTAAATCAAGGGTAGGCATGCAAATTTTCCCTTAAAATATATGTTGTTTGCCCTAATTTTCATACCTACTTCAATTTCTTTCGGAGCTGTCGCAGCTGGGTGTAGGGTAGTGCGCAGAATCCTTGCCCTGCCCTTGACACGGCAGCATCCTTTGTCCTTAAAAATTATCGGTTTTATTACGTCTTCGATATTTTGTTTATTATGGGCTAATGATAATCGCTAAGTAGTTTAATCTGGAACTACTAAAGTACATAGATACCAGTCGAAGCGATAATCGAAGGTATCTCTAACAACGAAATATATTATTTCCTGAACAAAATCACACAAAACGTGCAATCGCTTTATTAATTATTGATATAGTATGAGCTTGTGGAGTAAGAACACTTTTCTTAGGTAACAAAGGTATTGTAAGTATATATTGTTCTTCTATAACTGTTCTAGTCATATTAAATATAATTGAGAACAGTCTAGTACAATTAAATGGTGTTAGGTTTTACAGAGCTCAGACAATCTTTTTTGCGATGGTTTTTAAAGGGGATCAGGCTAACTTAATTTCATATAAATTCGTTTAACGATTTTGGTTCAATAAGGTAGGTAATACTCGTATTAGTCTAGGCCTTAAGTAAAAATAAGTCTACATTTGCAAATGTTTAATTAATACTTTGAATTCTAATTATTATCGTCAAGTGCTAGCTTATGGTCAATTGCGATACAAAAGTTTAATTACCTAACACTAGTTTTGTCAGTCTTGGATACCAAAATGAATAAGGATAATCCTCAATGGCTGGTCTTTCATAGTCCGCTTCACTAGGCATTTTTATGCGAACTACCGAACTAGGGAGAACCTCCACTGGTAGCTGATTACACAGCTCGCTGTCCGGTGCTGTCCACTAAATATTTTCAGTATTCAGTTTTTAGTTAAAATACTAGGTAGTATTGAATATGTACTAATTTGGTTTGTTAAGAAAATTAATTCACGGTCAAGGTGGAAAAAACTACGGGAGAAAAGCAGACGTTTGATTTACATACAATATGCTTTACGCACGTGTTCTTAATTACAATTATCTGTAATCATTGTTATTATTGTGTACTCTGTGAGAAAAAGTGTTTTATGTATGGCGCCTTCCTTATGAAACAATTTCAATTACGTTCAAGTTAATTGTTTTTTTTTTCAAAGGCGAGTAGAAAATGTGACACCTGTGTCTAAAACTGTTTTAAACCCTCGTAACGGGGCCCTGGGGAGAATTCTAAGGGGCGGGGCATACGACATAGAAATTGTTAACGCGCAATTAATATGTTTGGTCTCCGGTCTGACATCAGTACCGTTTAGCCTAGGTTTTTGTGCCTATCAACCGAATGACTTGTACTTCCTGATAATTGTACTCTTATACGCCTGTCTTAATAATTAATACTTAGCCATTCGCGGTGTAGGCAAAAATGGTCCATATAAATAATGGTCCATATAAATAACTCTAGCTCATTTATTTAAAAACTGTCCTTTTTATGTTATTATTATGGTATTATCGCGTTTCCCTTAAGATAAGCCGGTAATGTCGTGTGACGGATAAGTAACCGTGCTCGCCGTTGCCAACTTCCGGTTTGTTACTTCCTTTTGATCATTAAGTTTAAGAAGCTTTTAAAGTTTAAGTGAAATTAAGACGATGTAGAAAATATAGGCCAATAGTTGACATTTCGGGTGAGATTCAGAGTCAGCGCTTAATATGACTCCAGTAAGTCAAAAACGTATTCTGTTTGACTCACAGGAGTCATTCTTTGTGATTAGTCTTTTAATCTGAGGATAAGTTTTGATGCAAGTGGTAAGTTCTGAAATCATTTCTTCATAGTATCCTAGATTATAAGGCCCATATATGCCGAATAATATTTCAAATAACCGGAACTTGTCAAAAGCTAAAGTTAGTAGAGACAATGATTGTTTTATAACTTCCGTATAAAGTAGTTTTATATTAGAATCACTAGTATATTTTCCATGTAGAGCAAAAACATAATTTTCTAAAAAAGCTACAAAAAAAACTATGTCTTCATCAACATTTATTTGTACATTATTAATATCTTTGTTCAAAATTGTAAACAAAAAGTATTGTAGAAATTGCATCTCCAAGTAGTACAGCTATAACCATATTTTGTACTAGTAAACTTGAGAAAATAAAAGATTTTATTATATCTCCGGTATAAGACAAAGAAATGCGATGTTCTATTGTCTATTGTGAGTTATGAAGAGGCTCCATATCGAATCCATCTTCTATAGTCTATACTGCCACAGCGTTATTGTCTATTTTATTTTAAGAAACACGAAACCTATTATTCACAGTAAATATCAAATGGTCAATAAAAAAGATTTCATCATTACTGTTACGAATTAATCGAACGTTCTGATTTCATGGTTTTTAGTTTTGTTTACTTAGATTAGTTTGTAGTACGAAAGGCCCACATTGAAACTTTTTATTTTTGTCCGAGATTAGAACTACAACACACTTCCGGTTTAACGCTTGAAGTAGGTATTATACCTGATGCAGTGCAGTAAAAGTACGAGTAAAAATCATCAAAATTGGTTTAAAGTCTTAAGCGAAACACACTAAAAGTATAAAATACTTTTTGTATTCATTTAAACATAAAAACACAAGAACAAAAACCCTTTTCTGAATTATAACGCACTGACTATCACTGCAATGACCACCTGTGACCATGCAAGTGTAACCACACGAAACGTCGGGATATAGTAATTAAGATAATTAAATGACTTATTTTCCGTTGTTGGCACAGGAATAAAGGTCTAAAACATCTAAGTTAGTAATAGTAGTAGTTCCGTATAATTAAACATATAACTCATCGTACTTAGAAATTAGGGTTGGCGAACTATCCAGGAAAGGTTTCATGTCAAACGCTGTCCCTCGAGCTCCTTGTTATCGATGTGTTCGCTTCAATGATTTTTCGATGGCTGTCTATAGAATTTCCACTTAAATGAACAATGTTAATCCGTACTTGAAAGTTAAACTAAGGTTCTCTTAAATCCTAGATCTGTTTATCTATTATCTAAATTAAAAGATGGCGGGCCGTGTAACCTGTTTATAATTAACAATAGACTATACTTCAACAGATTGAGAGTAATAATTTTTGAACAATTATATGCTTGTGTTTTGAGCACGCAAATAATGGGGCAGTGTCGTTATTTAATAAGAAATAAAAAACTTAAAGTAAGCTTTCTTTTAATCGTTTGATACTCGTATATGCTTTAATAAAGAATATCTAACAAGATTTACCTGAATAGGCTATATATTTTTCTCGTAGAAGTATATTTTTTATAAAAAAGATATTGTGATATTTTCTCTTTGAATGAATATAGACCTCGTTTAACATTGCACTTGAACTAGATAGCTGGATTTTATTCATACACCGCGAGTGAAGCACTCCATACATCAATACCTCTATGCAATAGAATTCTGTATCTTTACAGGTCATTGCCAACTAAACTCGTTGCATACAAGTGTACCTCGGCTATAAATTCTCATTGCCGTTTGGTACTTTAGATGCGGGCGGTGCATTTACAAGTAAATAGTCTATCAAAACGATATGAAGCAATCCCAGAGGCTGAGCTATACCATGCCGACACTAGCGGAATTCTAGTTGAGTTGTGCAATACACCGGGGAGCTGAACCATTCTATATCTGTAATCTTTTGAGCGGTTTTGTAGAGAATTCGTTTTGGTTTCAATATTTTGTGAAACCTTGTGTGCATTTGACACATAAGTGATGAAATAATAAACAAGTATTTTGTTGCCGTAGTGTTCACAAGTAAGACATAATGTTGTAATATAGATTACCATGCTAGCGAAACAATAGGTGATAAACAGTGCTGTTTGATTGTTTGCTTATGTTATATTTTTCTGCTCAACTGATATAGTTTAATATAGCGAGATGCTGAATCATTCCTAATAAATTAGCACTTGACAAGGGCGGATCTAGGTGTCGCTTGTTCACATAGAATAATCTAACGATGACAGAACTGCGGTATGATTTCTTTTATTTAAACAGTATTAAATGACCCGCCCTTGCACTAATTTACACTTTAGCATTTGTGATTTAAATAACGATAATACCTATCCTAAAGACACCCGTTCAAAGTCAGAAAGGTCTTATTAAAGTTTTTGTAGACGGAGATGACTGTTTTAGACAGATACAATTTTTGTTAGATTGTCTCCTGTTTTAAATGATAGTGCAATTAGGGCTTATTCTATTAGATATTTCCAATAATTTATACTTAATAATATTACCAATATCAATTTCTTCTTGTTCACAGATGCAGAATATAAACAACATAGTCATGTTTCCCATAGACAGCCTTTTGAAGGGAGACCTACGAGGTGTGAAGGGTGACCTCAAAAGGCCGTTCGACAAAGCATCCAAAGACTACGAGTCGAAGTACCTGAAAATTGAAAAGGAGAAAAAGTCACAAGCGAAGGAAGCCGGCCTTATTCGTAGTGAGGTGACGCCGGCCGAAATTGCTGATGAGATGGAAAAGGAGAGGAGATTATTTCAACTGCAAATGTGCGAGGTAAATATTTGAACGATTCGTTTTTGTTTTATCGTATATTTTTAATCTATGGCTGAATTGGTAATGAATATAACCTAAAGGCATGTCTTTTGTAAGTGCTTAGAAGGGAAAAAGGGGTGATCGCGTGTAAAATTATAATTAATGAACAGAAATGTATCTGCCTCGTGCTGTCGTTATGGGACTTCACAACCAATCCCTCTTAAAACGTGATGTGCTTCAATAAATTTAAAGTTAATTACATTTTATCGTTTAATTCAGACGTCATTGAATTCTCATATCCATAGAAATTGGTTTTTAATAGAAATCTGTGGTTTTCCGGTTGGTGTTTCTGTCGGAGTAATTTTTGGTAATACGCCCTAGTATTTGTTAAAATATCTTATTGTATCAATAATAAAATAACATTAGTTAATCAATTATGCCTATCATAATAAATTATTATTCCCTCTGATATAAATCTCTAATAATACAGGTATTTTTATTCTGTCATATCGTGACAATAATGAACAAAGTGTAATTAAGGTACTCGGTACTCTGGTAATTAATTGTTAGAAGCTTAAATAGCTTTAATATTAATTTTACACACGTTATTGACTCTCCTTGTAGATAACAGGTAGCTTGGTAATTACGTTTTTTTTTCAATATTGGTTGGTATTTACAACGTTTTTAAACAAAAACTGATTAGTTTTTGTAGTTAAAACAACATTCGTCATAGATTTGTCTAAATAACAACAAAAATATATTTTAAACATTTTACATACAATTTTATAGCCAAGTGGAATGAAGTAAAAATCTCAGTCTAGAATTAGTTTTGGCTCGGGTCTGCGTTAGCCGTGTAATTAATTGTAAGTGCAATTTGTGGTTCCGAATCTGACTCGAGAGGGCAATAGAATTGCCACGAACGTTTTAGTAAAATCTTGCTTAATTGATATTTTATTCGGTAATATTTATGTGCATTTCGTAACGACTTTGTGGGCATTAATATTCGATTTCATTTATTAATATATACAAAACTTGAACATTAAGATCTATACGTCTAATGTATATACATTTGATGCCTGAAATTTATCACACCTAAGTTAGCTGTTTTTGTGATTTCCAAAGATAACTTTATGGATTTCTTTTGGTAGTAAAATTAAGTACAGTTAACCAAATTACTAAGTAAGTTATTTTTAATAATATTAATTATTTATTTGTTCAAGCAGACAATCATAAGTCCATATGGTTATTATTGTGTTAGTTACAATATTGTCATAAATATTATATTAGTTGTTAGCTTTAAAGTATATTAAATCACAAAATTAAACTGACCTGCAGTCCATTGCAATGACCCATATAAGGGCTATCCAGCCTTCCCGCCATTACGTTTTTTAAGTGTAATTACTACAATTGTTAAACACACTCCCGTCCTAATACCTTCAACATAATCAGTTTGAATTCAGTGCAAATCGCAATAGTCTTCTGTTGTTTTAAAATATTCAATCGAAGTCTTACTCCAAAAGTGATAAATATCTATATATTAGACTAACCAATGTTTATTAATATGTAAAAGCTAAAATTATCCAATTTCCAAAGATAACATTATCAAAGTCAAATAATACTATTTGCTACTTGTCTATGTACTGAGACGTTAACAGTTATATATTACATAGATATAAGATATGACGACTGTGTGAATGACCGACCTTACAATGACACTATTAATTTTACTCGCGAACGGTGCTTTATGATTTTTGGTGTTTCGTTACGGTTTCATTAAATAGTGTGTTGACGTTAATATATATTTTTTAGAATATGGGGCAACCGTTGGGGCAGAAGGGTCGCCTGATGTTTAGTTTCAGGCCATCGATGCACTGTCGCGGCTTACGTGCGTTAACGGCCTTTTAACTTTTAAGTATCACTCTTTTCTTGAAAGACCCCAAGTCGAATTAGTTCGGAAATATTATAATGGGCAGCCGGTGCCATATAGTGTTGATGCGCGGCAAATTGAGCTTTAAAACGGCGTGATTAAGATGGATTACCTAGTAATGACGAGTCTTACAATATTAAAAATACAAAAACAAACATAAATTATGTTTTCGCAAAATTACGCTAAATGATTTGAACAAATTGGAAACAAAATTGAGTCTTATTACTATCAAGCAGCCCTTATAATCGATATTTTTACCACATCTTTAGCACCTCGTTGGAAATTTCCCCTTATGGTAATTGTATGCAAATTAAACGCTTCAATAATATTGATAAAATCTTAATGCGTATTATCTAATTATGTATCATAAGCTCTCGAAAGCCGCGTGAAAGGTGTTTGATATGTTACATAATAGACATTTGTTTGTATTGATTATATTTTCTACTTTCTTTTGATATCCGGCAACGGTATTCTGTAGAAATTTTACGCAATGTTTTTTTAGTTATTTCAAATATTTGAAGAAACTGTGATTTCGTGTATAATAAACACCACAAGAGTAATAGACTAATTCGGTATTTCTCCAAGAAAAAGATTTTGGTGTTGAGGTGTGTAAGTAATATTTGTAGCAAAAAGAATCGGTACCGCGAGCGACGTTGCGTCTCTAATCTTCTAAAGACTCCTAGTTCTTAAGCAAAAAAGAGTCTATAAACTAGATGATACAAATTTTCTTTAACGAAATTATCTTATATTTTATATTAATAATTCGTTTCATATATGAGTCATCGCATAATACTAAGAACATAGTCAAAGCAAACATTTTTGTCACCACCTGCTCCAAAAGTTATTTCTTCCGAGAAGAGCATTAGCATTCTTTTATCAGACCCCTCTGAACTCAGAAATGAGTTTCTCTAAGAGAGCGACACTTAGTAGTTTTAAAAACGCTACATCATACCCCTGTGACCGAGCAAGTGATATTGTGTGGAGTACCGTTATATGCCAACAAAGTCTGAACGCGATTTATTTAAATTGTTTGAGGATTGTGTTACGATGATTATGGAGGTCATTGCTATGGCGACAGCCGTATTAACGCTTTAAGTGTGCAAGATTTTTAAAATATTAACAGTCTTGTTATAATCTATACTAATATTATAAAGAGGAAAGGTTTGATTTTTTGTTTGTTTGAAATGAAAAGGCTCCGAAACTACTCGACCGATTTCAAAAATTCTTTCACCGTTGGCAAGCTACACTATTCCCGAGTGACATAGGCTATGTTTCATTTTCAAAAAAATTAGGAATGCTTACTAAAACTTGAATAATCTAGTATTGTCTTTGATTAACATAACTTTTATTCATTTAATAAAACACTATTTTGACCGGATTGAAGTTATGTATTATTATAAATTTACAAATTGTCACCGTGACCACGCACGCTGTAAAGCACGTGAAACGTCGGATAAATTTAAAATTATGTTAAATAGTTGTAAATTTATAATAATACATAACTTCAATCCGGTCAAAATAGTGTTTTATTAATTGAATAATCTAACCCAAGGTGCAAAAAACTTCCTTCAATCGTGTGCGCTGCGAAAACTATTAATGATGGAACAAAATGATGTATTACAATTTTTCAGGACACATCACTATCTATAAAAAAAGTCGCGACAGCATGTCTCTATCTTTTATAGTTACGTCACAATAAGCGTCCTTTTATTAAATTTTTTTTATTAAAATACCACCGCTAGAAAAGGCTCTTTATTCGTACCTAGGTATTGATCCTTATCAAAATAATTACGAGCGTTTCACATAAGCTACAATTTAATGGCATAACCACCAAAAAAGCATGGTGGATTGGTGTTCTCCTGCCTTTTCTCTTGAATAGTTTACTACTATGTAATATAACAAAAATCTTAGCCACAGCAACGCTTGGCCGAGTCCACTAGTTTTTTATAAGGTTAGTACGAAATTTGTTACCGTGGTTACCATTCTGTTTCTATGGAAATAACATTGGCAACAAATACAGTACAAACTTAAGTCCTCGTAGTCACACGTCTCCTATTAAAGGCTCATAGGAAAATCGAGCAAATAATTTGAACATTGATACCACTAGTTGTTTTTAAGATATTGTTTAAAATGGGAACAATACGATTTTGGGATTTGGTTAAATTGTGTATAGACAATATTGTTGTTGTATTCAAAAGTTTTAAAACATCAAGCACTTCATTATTTACGTATAAATGTGATAAAACATAGCAATGTTGATTAGGCAAAATAGTATTTTCACGTTACGTAGCATTTGTTTTATATTATTTCGATATGCGTATAACAAAATGATATTATGGCAATTGCATCTGGCATAGCGCTTGTGTTTCTGACAGGAGCAAATTTATTATTATTTGGGACTTTAATGACCATTGTTATGTAGCTTAGTGCTATTTGTACTGCATTTAATGTTCATAATTTATGTACCTTAAAAACAAGACTCTTTATTACAAATTTAAATAATGTTATATAAATTATAATCGCTTCAGATACACTAAGTAAGTTAGTAGTATAAGTTTAGTGCCATTACAAGACTTGTTTATTCACGAATAAAATATTATAGAAACGAACGAAAATAAGTTATGTATAAGTAAGTAAGTATACATAACTTTTTTTTTCAAGGACCCCTTAAAGAGTAAAGAGCTCCAAGCGGCTTCATCTCTATCTTGAGTATTTTTCAGCCAATCTACGGGATACATACACGAATATATAATATGTTATATTTTTGTATACAGACCTTTTACTAAATTAAGTACTATGTTGTAGCAGCATTTCAATGTGTTAGCTTTAAGCCAAAATAAATGTGTCACCTACTGATAGTAGTTGTCTAGTAAGCTGTCTAGTTTATTGATTTCTATTCAGTTAAAAATAGTCGAGCCTATGCGCGAATAAATTATGTATTCCATAATTTCGTTTAAACTATTGTATCGGTATCCGAGTTTATTTCTATTAAGCGTATCATTCGTGCTGGACGTTTATGGTGTTCCATTTAAACATTGTAAGTAGAAGTGGAGGTAGAAGGTCTTTTGACTTAAGGTATTTTTGCAGGGTGATGACGTCACTATTAACTTGTAGGTTGACTATGGGAAAAATAATATTATTGAGTTCGTTAGTGTTTAAAAGAAAGGTTTAGCATGAGCAACAATGGCGGCAGGTTAATGACCGGCCTTGCGCGGCGCAGGGCCGTGCTGTCATGACCCTAACTTGAATTTGCTTGTCTGACAAGATCCTTTTAGAGTGAATTGTTGCAAAATCAGTTCTAGAAAAGAATTGTCTGCGAGCTTACGCGACTTACACCCGTCTGACGTTTTCGCAAACATATTTGTTGATGCAATTGAACCCTGCCAAATAAATATACAAATATAGTCGAGACGTCTCAGCAAGGTCGTATATTATTAATATTGCACAAGCAAAAAGCGAATCGGGAGATATGCGCGTGCGTCATATTTCATTGTACGGAAGGGCAACTTTTCACACTTTACAAAGCGACCGCTCACAATAAAGTTCAAGTTATAAGTTGAAATGGTTTCTAATTAGCCTATATAAGTCTGTTAATCCTTGCTTGGTTTTTTTTAAATATAACAATCTGATGTTCAGTGTTACTGCCGCCCATATACACTATCAATGAGAGGGCTCGCAAATGCGTCGCTGGCCTTTTAATAATTGGTACGCTCTTTTCATGTCGTATTTGTTTGGAATTACTTCAGTGGGTAGCTGGTTCCACATAATGGTGGCTTAAATTTTTATAATTATATCTCTTTAGTACTAAATGTAACAAATATTTTTGTTTCAGTATCTGATAAAATTCAACGAGATTAAAACGAAAAAAGGGATAGAGTTGTTACAACACCTCGTAGAATATTACCACGCCCAGACGAACTATTTTCAAGATGGACTGAAAACTATTGAACATTTTGGAGTGTACGTTGCCGACCTAAGCGTGCAACTGCAGAAGATAAGACAGCAACAAGACGACGAGAGGAGGAGGCTTCTTGAATTACGAAATATGTTGAGGGCGGCCGCTCCACAGGATAGAGAGGTAACAATAGTTTAGGTGTTCTGCCATCGCGTTCATAATCGACGACTTATCTGTAGGAAAATTAACAATTATACATACGTAGGAATTTTTCTGTCGTTATTATTCTGACCGAATCGTTGAACGTATAAAATAATCTTCGTTAAAGCGAATGTTATCTGCTTAGTTAGTTTATCTATTAGTCATAGTGTGAGCAGCGTTCGATTCTCATCCCTGAGGTCGTAGCTTCGATCCCCTATATGCGCATTTAATATTCGAACGGTGAAGGAGAACATCGTGAGGAAACCGGCTTGCCTTAGACCCAAAAAGTTGAGGGTGTGTTAGGCACAGAAGGCTGATCACCTACTTGCCTAGTAGATTGACAAATGATTATGTAACAGTTACAAGAATCTGAGGCCCTGACCTAGATACACTGATTTTTTTTAAATCATAGTAAGAATTATTTTGATATGAGGTGCTTGTCAGAATTCAAAACGTTAAAGTCGAATGACATCTCACCAGTATTATTGGAGTTTACTCCTTAAGAAACGATTTGAGTTATAAGGCCCGGTACGGAAATTTTATGAGGAGTAAAATCAAGTGTAACACGAAAAGTTGAGGCGTTATGTAGAAATAGACAAACATATATATCTGTAGGATTGAACGTGTAAAAGAATGAGATGGAATACATTACACAGACTTTTCTATTTTGAATTCACGTTTTGACAGCCACGTTACAACATTGTCAGTGTAAAAAATGGTGTAAAAAATAAAAGTAGATTGTCTAGCGTGCCATAGAGTTTTGTCAATAGTAATGGTCAGTGAAATTAAAACTAAAAAGATTGTTCATTCTTATTCTTCTTTTACTATAAAAGTAACTTTGGTCACAGAAATAAAATCCTATTTGGGCATAGGTACGTTTTATTACTACTACAAACATTTATATTATAAAAACATATATTCTTACCACCTTTAGTATGAAAATATGGTCGACAGCCACAGAACATTATCGCCATTTTATCGTTCGTAAGGAGTAAACTCCAATCGTGCGTCGTAGCTGACACACACACACTTTTTACACCGGTATTATACACCTCACCTCGCACTTCCACGAATGCGTCATTGCACATTACGTTTTTCTTTAAATCATTTAATTTTATTGCATTCCATATGCCTTATCGTATTGTGCGGGCGTTGTTTTTAAACTTTTAACTGTTTGGTGATTAATGCATTTTGATATCATATATGCCTCTGTGTTTATATTAACCACAGAACTTTGAGTTTAAAGGTCAATTTAGTTATTATATTAAACACAAATAAAACTACGAATAAAAGATCGCAAGTTACAAATGCATAAAACCTTATAAAATATATTAGTTTTAAAACGTATAATTTCAAAGGCCTCATTTCCCTTAGGCCGCTGCAACGGTCGGGGGCTATTCTCTTCACCAACTCCAAGGCGACAAACAGCATGGTGTCACCCGTAGCGGGTACCTTCTAAAAAAATCAGAAGGCAAAGTGAGACGGGTTTGGCAGAAGAGACGATGCCGAGTCACAGCTGAGGGATACTTGGATATTTTTCACGCGGACGAGAACAAGACCCCGGCGAGAGTGAACCTATTATTGTGTCAGATTAAAGTAGCAGCGGAGGACAAGAGGGCATTCGATCTAGTCTCATGTAAGTACTTTAGGGGAGTAAGGATAATGGATAGATCGTTATGCTGTAACAAAAGAGCAGCTGGTACTTCACTTAAGTTAAATTGAAGAGATTTGAAATCATTTTTGCTCTCAAACATCATACATGTGACAAGAAGGACAATCAGATACTTATGAATATATGTTATAGAAAGCTTTACATGTGAACTTAAGCAGCGCAGTCCATGCAACTTCATCACAAATCACAATAGAGTAGCCCGCAACATCGCAACCCTACGCTCTTTGTATTGAAGAATTCGCGAATAGGTCCGACAAGCATCAGCATATACACTCTAAATATATAATTAAATATATGTATTTTGAATATTGTTATTCATTGCCACATTTAACAGATTTTGAACCATTAAAATAGCACATAAAAAGATACGCAGCTTATCAATATATAAATTTAATATAATTTAAAAATAGAATAATTTTCCTGAAAAATACTCGTTAAACAATTGCAGGTAGCCGTACTTATCATTTCCAAGCGGATGATGAGAACGAACAGCACGCGTGGACTTCAGTACTTGTGAATTGCAAGGAAGGAGCCCTGATGAGGGCATTCCATCAACAAGGGGGTGAGAGTAACGACACGGGTCATTCGTTCCTGGATCTGCAGAGGTCTATCATCAGGGCTGTAAGGTCCATGCCAGGGAACCAGGTCTGCTGTGACTGTGGATCTGTTAATGGTAAGTGTATCTTAGTTACGTCATTAAAATGTGGGTCTCTAACTATTTTTGGAAATGTTGTCACCTTTGAGTGAATCATGAAACTCACTCAAGTTTTATGTATTTTACTTTATATACCTTTGTGTGTTTACTTTTGTAGTTATTTTATTAAACATATATATTATATATTTCCGTAAAGGGGCTATTTAAATTTTCTATAATAGTAAAAAATAATAAGAAGCCATTGGCGCTACAACCAGTGGCGTAACATACAACATATAGGGTGGCAGGGCTGGCAAAATGCCACGGGCCCTCGACCCAAGAGGGCCCTGCCCAAGAGATATTATGTTCTATGGATACGTCTCCAATACGCATTGGGCTATTGTGGGGACTACAAAACATTCCCTCTCGCCTAAGAGAGGAGGCCTATGGCCATTTGTGGGACATATACAACGTGTAATTGAGTACGCTGAAAATCTCGAACTTTATTAAAATTTAACTGAGTAGGGACAATTTTACCTGTAGGGCCCCATCAAAAGAATTGCCACAAAAGAAGCCACGGGCACCAGATGGTATAGTTACGCCACTGGCTACAACCTTCGACGTCTGGACCTAAAATTTCTGTATCCGTTTCGTGATCATTTATTTTTCTTAATAGATAATCAGCCTTCTAATAATCGCTCGCTGAAACCACTCGGCTAACACTGCAATAAACGTAAAATTATATGAAATGAAAAAAAAAAACTTCCAAATTTCAGCATATAAACGAAACTACTCAACTAGATTAAAAATATTGTACAAAAAAAGTTCGCTAAAAGCAGCTATGTTGAGGACAAAATAGCCGTCTCGGCGGAAATTACGCCGGTTATACAAAGTTATGAAACTGTTGTATTGTATATTTAAGTTTCAAGAGCGAAATGAATCCTAGCTGACATTTCCATCAACATCTTAATAAGTGGTATTTAATTTAAAAGGGAATTCAAATTATAACTTAAATTTGAAAATGTTGGCGTTACGTCTGTGTATTTGTAGAAATATTCAGCCACGTAAATCTGCGTTACAGATTTTGTAGGACCTAAATTGAATTTCGCCGTTAGGTGATGACGTTCAGGGTTCTTTGTTTTGGGAGCAACTGTCGGTCAATCGATAATGCTCAATAAGTATAGGCACAGATAAAGCTTGCTTTAGGATGTGTATTTTTGTACCGACCAGAGTCCTGGTCAATTCGTGCAGTGGACCGAAAAAAGATATAGGCATTCCAGACGTGATGTTGGAGGAGCTTGTTGCGAATACCATAGACTGCAAAAAGGACCAATAAGTCCATTCTTAACCAACTAAAAATCACCACAATACTGTCAACTATCATTTACAAACTGATGCTTAGCTACTTTGGCTATATTGCCCGGAGTGAACCGAATAGTCTCGACAAGCTGGTGATGGCAGGAGAAATCGGGGTCGCCTACCCGTTGGTGGTTGGTGGACCAAATTAAGACAATGATGGGTCTTACAATCATTGGAAGCAGCAAATCGACGTATCGGTTAGGCCTTTTCAAGACTGGCGACGACCTTCAGTAATGAAAACCACGAAGAAGAGGGATATGTTGACAGTATTTGACAGCACGAAGTTAAAACTTCTATAAATATTCTTTGTAATATGACAGTATCGAATAAACCGAGCAATTAGGTGCAAGTGTCGGTAAACGGATAAAAAGTGCGAGTGTATTGTTTTCATTGAGTAGTCATCGTTGCGTAACATTATGCATTGTGTATGCAACACTAGGTAAATAGGTTGGGTTTTTGTTCATAGATCGTGGTGACAGCCTGTTTCACGAGTTGTAAGACGAGTTCGCCTTTTACGTTAAGTAAACAAACGAGCCCTTAAATTATAGTTATTTCAGTAAAGAAATCCTTTACTTTAAAGGTTCAAACAACTAGGTACTTGTGGTAGCATTTCTTGTAAAAATTAAGGTACACGCCGATTATTCAACTGTAATCGTTAATTACATATAGGCAATATAATTGTATTACAAATATTAAAAGCAACTTATTTCGTAGGGTTTTGTGTGTATTTTATTTTATAATACTTAGTAATTTTAACATAAATAAAAGGATATTTTTATATTTCGAGCTGTTATCGATTTACTTTAGGGAGCGTTCAAGTATTACGTCACGCAATTTTTGGAGATTATAGACCCCTCCCCCTGTAACGCGCCGTAACGTTTTTCTGTACCCAAGTATAGTATAACATTTCGTAACTTTTATAATAATAACGCGTAATTAAATCCCCGATCAGTATCGTAACGTTTTACAAAAGGGACCCCCCCAATTAGTTACGTTATATGTACTTGAACCAGGAATTTATCAGAAGATATAGACAAAATTCGTTTTAAACTGTATTTCTATTAATTCCAGATCCGACTTGGCTGTCAACAAACTTCGGTATAATAGTGTGTATAGAATGTTCTGGAAGCCACCGGGAACTCGGTGTACACATCTCACGTATACAATCTTTGACTTTGGACCGGCTTAGCACGTCACAGTTACTCCTCGCGCGGCACATGGGCAATCAGACATTCAATGACGTCATGGAGAACACGCTGGACGAGAGACTGAAGTTAAAACCTGGTAGTACAATGTAAGTTGAAAAGCAATTCTTTGAGGTCTCAAATGCTCTGTTTTATTGATTTTAAAATGGTGTGTGATCTGTGCCTACAAGAAACCAGAGACGCTATTAAAATATATTTGTTATTTCTTACGTAAACTGGATTTTACTTTATGCTCTTTTGTTTCTGATTGAGAAGTAGATAAGTAATATTTGACCTTACTTACCTTCTACGGCTATATAATTTCGGTAAAAATGTTAACCGTTCCGGTCATGTATTTATTATTAAACCCGGCATTACAAATTAAGACGCCTACAGAGATTTACTAAGTTGTAATAACGGTACTTAATTAGGAACAGTTGATGACGCTATAATTGTCATTTTCCAGGGATGAAAGGTTAAGGTTCATTCGGGAGAAATATGTGTATCGTGCGTGGGCGGCGCGGACGTGTAGGGATGAAGCTGAGAGGTTGTCGGAGGTTGAACACGCGGTTAACAATGGACATCTGCAGAATCTATTGCAGGCGTATGCGGAAGGCGCTGATTTGGCTGCCACATTGCCAAGTTCGGTAGGTTCTGTTTTATATCTATATAAATTGCCACAATGAAATCAATATTTTTTTATATTATGTGTATAACTACTGACCAACGTTGTCCTGTACGTTTTAAATACAAAAATTTCAACCCGAAAAAGTTAGCTACTTGTAAATTAAATCATTCTTGAACCCACACAAAAAATAAATAAAAATCGATTCAGCTGTAAGAGGAGGTCAATTACAAAGACATTCCCAGAATATTTACATATAATACATATGATATATTAATGGCGTTAAGAGTCTAACGATAAGATTCAGAAAAAAGATATAGCTTAAACTATGACTATCCTAAACTATATATAGAAAAGACAGATTTCTAAATCTCCTATTAGGACTTTTCGGTTACGAGTAAGGTATGACTCGGCAAACGTCGTTTTGCCATGTATATTATTTCTAGGAAAAAAATCTTTAGTTCAATAAAAATAGGGGTTGATCGTAGAGGGGTGACAATTAAGGGTTGTATGTATTTCTGTATGCTGTATCATAAAAAGATAAAAACAAAAAGTTTTGCCTAAAAAATAAAAATATAGATTTAGGGGTGGGACCACCCATAACAATTAGGGGGATGAAAAATAGATGTTGTCCGATTCTCAGACTTACTGAATATGCATAAATAATTTCATAAGAATCGGTCGAGATGTTTCGGAGGAGTATGGGAACACGAGACTTTTATATATGTATTAGATATTATTCTTTGCTGAATGCTATGTTAACTGTTGTACCGAATTATTAAAATTAATTTTTAAGAATGATATCTGATAAGCCGAGTTATAGATTCCTCTATAGGACAGATGTATAATGCGCTTTCTATAAAAAACCCAGAGCTTTTAAAGTGGTCGCAAAATATATGTAAAATCTATTCATGAAGTTCACAGTGTATTATAGTTTAAGCATGTGTGCAGTAATAATAATGTCCTTTCCCATACATTACATATTAAAAAATATTTCAGGACTGCGGTGAAACAGCCCTACACCTAGCAATATCTCGCGAACTGGGTGACGGATCCTGCTTACATATAGTAGATTTTCTAGTCCAAAACGGTGGCTCCCAGCTCTTGGATAAGGCCACGGCCTCTGGTATGACGGCTTTGCACCTGTGCGCGGCGATAGATAGGACAGAGCCGATGAAACTCCTGCTAAAAGCTGGAGCCGATATTTCAGTTAGGGATGGAAATGGACGGACGCCATTGCAGGTCGCGAGGCAGTTGGGACATATTGCTTGCCAGGAATTGGTGAGGGTTTTGCATTATGGAAATTTATTGTGTGTGCTTTTGTTTTCAATACGCGAAAAGATAATGTGTTTATTTTTGACGTGACAACGTCTTATAATTCGATTCGAAAAAACATGACGCATGCGGCGTTACCTCGCTCTGAGGCGTTCCATTTAAGGCTTGAAGTGAAAGCGAGAGCGCGGAACGAGCGACAAAGAGGCACAATCGGCCTCAGCATTCGGCAGCGTTCGACATCTTTATTGTATATAAAGTATATATCGTATTATATCGATTATATTGTAATCGATCAATTCAATTGTGATTTCCATTTACCTCCTTCTCTATATCCATACAAAATATCTATTAAACAAATAAAATAAAAATTTTTTTTGAAAACAACCATTCCATCAGTATTTTCTTATGACGTTGCACGTTCGACTATCGTCAGTAAACCGACTTTACAGACAACCGATTTTTTTATGTATAAACCAATGGCACTTCAGCACTTGAACTTGGCCTCAGATTTCGTGATCGTTTTTTCCAATAGGCAAGTAGGTGTTCAGCCTTCTGTGCCTGACACACGCCGTCGTATTGGGAGTATAAGTATGCTGGTGCGATGTTTTCCTTCACCGTACAACAGAGTTATGTGCGTATTAGACAAAGTCCATTGGTCCACAGCCGGGAACCGATCGAACTCTGGAATGTTTATGTATTATTCGTACTATATGTGTAGCATTCTGCACTAAAAAGAATTTTAAAATTTAACTCAGTGAGCATGATTCGGAAAAACATTATTTTTTTACTTAAGATGGTATTTTAAACTTGGGGCAAATAGTATGTGCTAAATGGCTTCCATAAACCGCTGATTGAATTATTATAATAACAGATTTTTTTATATATTAATTTACTTATTATTTTTCAGTTGGAGGGTGTTGATAAAAGAGAAAAGAGTATATTTGAAAATATCAATATTGATTGGAACTTATCTCATGATGAAGGATCAACAGACTTCTCAGATGATGATACAGTGATTGACGAACGGGTAAGTAATTTTTATGGTATCCATAAACTAGATTCTTAGTTTATCTATGCCATATTAATCCCATTATTTATATTTTATCATTATCTCGTGTCACTTTGAAAATAAAATATTTTTAACAGTTTTTGGTTCCTTTTAAGAAACAAACAAATCTTTAATAAAATTTCCTCAAGCATTCGTGTCCAATAATTTATAATTATTGATTTTATAAATGGGGGGCTGGAGGCACATATGATATTAAGTGCCGGGTACACTCTGCCAGAAGGCTCGTTGACGGTATTTAAGAATAATTTTTAATATTGAAAACTGCATCAAAATTAGTTCCGTAGTTTTAACGTGACATGTCTAATCATACTTCGTACTTATACTTCTTTTGATATGTTTATTATAATTTATATCTTATTGTTTAGAATGCCGATTTAGTTTTGAACCAATAAAACAACACAAATAAAAAGAGGTTTATTATACTTGCTATAGCAAAATGGCAGCGTGACTCCAGAAAAGAAATGTCCGCGTTCTCGTCCGCCTTCGTACGCGGGGGGCGGAGGGGGAGGGGAATCCCCCGTACTCCGATCGCGATCGTCGACGTGCGACTCGCTTCAGCATCCCCCTACACCTACCACGTTACCACGGAAACCAAATGTTTGTAAGTATAAAAAATATCCTTTGCATAATGAAACGAAACTACTTTAATAAACAGTAATTATTTCGCAGTCGCGGCCAGCGGTTGTTAGCATTCGAGTGAAAGAAATGTACTTGAAGTATATTGTTCCTTACAGATAACCTAAACAGCTTAAAGAAGCGTGTGGCTCCCCTACCACCAGCCGTATCGCTACCTCACCCCCACCCCCACCATCGCTCTACACCCTCCCCCTCGCCTTCCGACTCTAGATCTATACATAGTGAGTATTCATTTTATTCTTTTTTATATTAAGCTAAATAATAATAATAATTCACTGGCTCTACAATATTCTATATGGGTCAAATTGTATTCGTTTCTTTGATCATTTTTATTTCAAGTAGATGATCGACCTTCTGTTTGACACATGTCATCAATTTTTTTGTTTCTCCGAGTGTTAGTTCCGCCCGTGCACCAATGGACGAATGTCGAATCTACGACCTCGGGGATGAGCGTCGCACGCTGAAGCCAAGACTTTTATTGCTTAACATATGCTTGAGCTAATAACATTGAAAAATGTTTTGACATATTTTTTTTTAAATTCTACAAATAGCCCGAGAGCCGTGACATAATAAATTTTGAGGGATGTTGTTTATCAAGGAACTAGTTCTATCAGGAGATATTTTCATTCCCGTTTAAGTTCCCCACAATTATCATAAAGTCAGCAAACCTCAGCGTTCGGATAGAGAAGGCCTGAGGCCTCCTTACAAACGTTGTGTAAAAAAAAAATGGTGATTAAAAAGAGTGGCGGAGAGTTTATTGCCAGTTCTTCTCTCCCATTCTACGCCCTTGATTTGAGAACTGGCAGTAAATGTAAAATTAGAAGCATTAATATGTATTTCTTTACTGACGAGTCATAAGTGTACATTATGTTACCTATGTGATTAAATGTTTTTTTTTTACTTTTTACTTAGTCTAAAGTGTAGGGATGTATTATTATGAACTGTAAATCATAAATAAACACTAGTATCACCACATATTCTAGGTGGAACAGTGAAATATCGGCCTCAACAGCCGCCTCCTACACCGCCACCAACACATTCCATGCCTAACGGGGCACATACAGACGAACCTACGCCGCCACCTAGAAAGGTAATTTATAATCGCCTAATTAATATATTTTTAATTATTCTAAATCTCCTTTCATACTTTGTATTGACTATGGGAATGTTGTAGGTAAAGAAAATAAAAAAAAAATTGATTATATTAGATACAAATTATTGTATAGCAAAAGAAATAATAACAATATATGCCATGAAAGTTTAGTACAGAAAGCCAAACATGTTGATTGTGATCCTCTATAGTCGTGTCAAATATTGTAGTTAGATAAAATGTACACTTTTCATATAAGGTATTTAAATTAAATTGTTTGTTTATTGTTTATGATGATAACATAAATATTTTGACAGAAACAGGCTGTCGTTTTGAGTATCTATGGTAAATAAAAAGAATTATTTTTTATTAAGAATGATGTCAAGATCTGAACATACCACAGAGTGCTTAGCGCATATGTAATAGTACCATTAGCTTTTGGAGCACGAGCACGGACACGAGACTTTCGTACTTTTAATACAAAAAAAAAATTAATAAAATTTTTTAATAAAATTTTTAATAAAAAAAAAAAAAAAAATACAAACGTAGGAACTATACGTTACTTATCTATAGAATATTGTTAAACAATAATCTCGTGCATTTAATAACTTTTAAAGTTATAAGCTCTTACGAGAATTGCCCAAAACATTTCTAGATTACTTTTTAGGTAAAAGTTCGCATCAGATATATACGTTTTCTTAATCTCATTTCAATGTTATCTATTGCGTTTATTTAAAAAAATACACATAATGAAAATGAGATGAGTATAGAATATATTTGTTTTTTCTTCAGAAGAAAAATAGATTGCAACCGGAAAAGGCTGACAAAACGAAACTGAGAAGGGTAAAGACGAGAGAGCTTTAGTGTAATTAATCGCTTTTCCCGATTTAATTTCACCCCCGATATTTGTTTTTTTCGAATTTATTGCTGTCAAAAGACCACAAGGATTATTATAATTATAATATATATTCTGAGTTCTGACCACCACTTTCTGGTTACCAATGAGCGTTAACTTATTGGTCACCAAAATTCCTGGATCTGATCCCCATCGAAAGAGTATTTGGATTGAAAGAAGAGATATGTCTGCCTCAAAGCTCCAGGAATTATGGATACATGAGAGGTAGCATATAAATATGATCACAATTTCCATGAAATCTCCCTGGATTGATTCCATTTTAATAAAACTCTAAACAGCACTCCGACTTCTAACAATTTAATTGTTATTGTGATTGAAACGCGTAACGAGTGCACGTGAGCGCGTTTGATTGGACTAGAGTTGTGATGATGATAAATCATGATCATTAAAAAATTCAAACCCTTGAACGTTTTCCAATTAATTCGCCATTAAAATAAGTTTTTTTTTTACTTGTAGCCTTTTGACAGTAACGTAAATAAAATCTTCAAAAAGACGCTTTAATGCGTTGTTTACTGCATGTATAGAAATGTAGTTAAAACCTTAGTTTCCAAGAGTAGAAACACGAACTTATTCATAAACGTACATACTTAAAGCAATTGAATGCTGTTTTTATTATACTAGTAATTTTAAAAATAATTACTAACGGATATAAACGTGAAAAAACGTCAATAAATAATCGGTGACAATATATTACATATTACGAATATAGTGCGTTTATGAATATAATATATATTTTAACAATAGATCTCCAATTGTAGGGTTTTAATGTCACCGTGTAAATAATGAAGATTTTGTGGATTTTATACTAACACGATATATTGCATGTTTTTAAGTGAATAAAAAATTACAATATTTCAAACTTCGTTCCCAAACTATATTTTTATATTAGAACACGTGCTTAGAAAGCACATAGATCTCTAGCTTGCGTCCAGACACAATGGTCCATAAAATAAAATTGATAGTTTAATAAAGATTAAATTAATATTTATAATTGTTCTATTTGAGAATTCGATTACAATTTGACAATCATAGAATTTTATTTATTAAAAAGAATCGTTTTTCGGGCCTTGAAAAGTTACACGATAAATTCGACTTGTGTCCGGACGTTTAATAAACTTTCTTCTTAAATTATTTCTTATGATCTTCAACGCGTCTTTCATACATTTTCAGGAATGTTCTAGTCAAGATTCATCGCTGGAGCTGTGCGATATATCGGACGGGTTAGACGATAGTCGTCTTCAGTCAGCGTTATCGTGTGACAGTTCGCGTTCTAGGGAGAGATCGCGGCGGAGTGACAGTCGCTCACTTGATATTTCTGACACCTCTAGTGTTCATTCAAGGTCACCATCGGCTTCTATAACTATGGTATGTTGCAAATATTTCATATTACTGTTTGTATAGTTAAAGATCGGGACGAGAACTTTATAAAAATACATACAAATTGTGCCTGTGTTTTTTAATATAGTTATGGAATATACGAAGGATGATGCGAGAGAGGTATGTATGTCGGGACCGTATCAAGTGGAGATCCGTGGTCTTTGTCCATCCCTTTATGAAAAAGGCGTGAATGTATAAATAAGATAAATTTTTGAAGTTATACTTCTTTAGGCGCGTTATGACAAATTGATGAGAGTGAAATTTTACGATGTGCGCGCACCGTGACACAAAATTAACAGAATGAAGTTGCCCACGGAAGATGCTACGGCATTAGACATAATTTAAAAACAAAATTCGAATAATAATAGAATTTATGTTACACTTAATGTAAGAGAATAATAATAAATATTTATTTATTGAATTTTTCAAATGTAAACTAAACTTAATGAGTCCTTTTCCTGTCTTTGATTACTTAATTGTAATTAATTATTTGCATGCAATCAGAAACTATTTTTAATAATGCCAAAGTATAACTTCTTACGCGCGTACATAAGTACACGCACCCTTTTTTTAAGTTAAAATATATAAATATAAAGTCGCAAATTGTGTTCGACGTTGAAGTGATATTTTTATTAATGTACGGAATTTTTTAATAGATGGGCGGTACAAGACGATGTAGGGCCCTATATGACTGTTCCGCTGACAACGAGGACGAGTTATCCTTCCGCGAAGGCGAAGTAATTGTGGTTATCAACGAGAGAACTGAAGACGACAATTGGATGGAAGGCCAGGTAGAAGGAACGAATCGTAGGGGAATGTTCCCCGTCTCTTTCGTACACATGCTACCAGATTAGAGAGACGCAGACGGATATAGTTGCAACAGTTCAGCTTAAAATGTTACTGCAACGTTTCGCTATCGGACTCGCAGTATACAACATTGTATCATTTTATTTATTTTCAAACAGACGCGAGTTAAGTTCGGAGTAGAAACAATTGGTCTCTTCTAGATTAGGCTATTCATAATTTGTAATTATACTGTTTGTCTCATTCTTTCAAATGCATATACTTGCTTGTTTGATAGAGACAAAGCAGTACGCTTATACGATTATGAAGGTGGTAGATATTAGCGATCTTCGAAACGCCAAGTATGAGATTTCGTGATACAACCTTACAGTGAAATTAGTCTCGAGAAATTTTTGCATATGTAGTGGTGTGTATATTACTCAGATCTTAGAGCGCGTTTCCACTATATCGTTCTGGCCTATACAAAAATGTTTCGATATCCTAACATTACTATTTAATATTATACTTATCCCTAGCAACACTCTGATTTTTGTTATCAATAAAAACAAGTTTTTATTTTAAAAAAAAGGTTTTGACTTTATAAAAAAAGGTGTGTGCGCGATTCACACACGATAGAAGTGAAACTTCAAAGAGGAGAGACCGATATATATTTTTTTCCTTTCATCTAGGTTTTTAAAACTCCGGGGGGTCTACGGGGGGTCAAAATTTATTTTTGGCCTAGGACGCACCGTTTCCGAGATATTTCAATCTAAAGCAAAAAATCGTCACTTGATAGTGGAAAGTGGAAACACGCACAAAACCAGAATAAACCAGTTTACGCTGTCCGCAGGTGCCACGTGCAGTCCGGCGTCAGTCGCTTGGTACTGTTAGAACATAAAGCACACATTTCATTCAAAAATTATAATTATTACGTTAATTGTTAAATTTTGTATTTGTTGATTGTTGTTATTGTTTGTTATTATTGTTATAATATTTGTTGAAGTGTTTAATTTGTGTGTAAGTGTTGCAACTTTATATTGTTAATTAAAAATGGCTCCAGTGTTAAAACATGGTCGAGGCAAGCCTTTGACTTCTCAAACTAAAGAAGTTTTGTACTGTTTGTACAAATATTTCGAAAATGAGTGTAATAACAACCCGAGCAGTATTATGACTCCCACTCAATTAGTTGCTAAATCAACGGGAATTTCAATAGCATCCGTCAGAAAGGTAGTATCAGAAAGCAAATGTCGACCTTCAGATCAGGAAGTAACATTTAAATCTCCTAAAAAGAAACCGAATCGTAAACCTACAATAGTAATCGATAACTTTGATCAGCAAGTTATCAGAAGAACAATTCATGACTTCCACATCACAAATAAAGAAATTCCCACTTTGAAAACTTTGCACGCAAAATTAAAAGAAGATATCGATTATAAAGGTTGTGTCAGCACGTTACGAAAACACGTCATGTCATTAGGTTTTAATTGGAAGCAAACAGAAGATAACCGGAAACTTCTTATGGAAAAACACGAAATTAGATACTTGCGAATTAATTATTTGATGAAAATTGCTGAATATCGTGAACAACGCCGACCAATTGTTTACACCGACGAAACATATATACATACATCACATACCCTCTCGAAATCTTGGTCAGATGGAAGCACTTCAGGTTTGAAGCAACATATATCGAAAGGCAACCGCTTAATCATTGTTCATGCCGGTGGTATGGATGGCTTTATACCAAATGCATTGCTTATGTTTAAAGCCAACCAAAAAAGTGGAGATTACCACGACAATATGAACTATGACAACTATTCAAGGTGGATTCAAACTCAATTAATACCCAACTTACAACCAAATAGTGTTGTTGTTGTTGACAACGCACCATATCATAACTCAATACAAAATCCTGCACCGAATAGTAATTCTAGAAAACAGCAAATGATTGACTGGCTGACATTGCGAAACATTGAGCATTCATCCACGTTGCTTAAGCCTCAATTATATGAACTGATTCTGCAAAACAAGGCGAGATTTGTAGAGTACAAGATAGACGAAATATTACGACAGCACGGTCATACTGTGCTGCGTTTACCACCATACCATCCGGAGTTTAATCCTATAGAAAATATATGGGGATAGTGAAAACATATGTCGCAAAAAAGAATGTCGCAATGAATATGAAGGTTATAATGTCATTAGCTGAAGAAAAAATGAACGCCATAACTGTAGAGGAATGGAGAAAAGTTTGTCTGCATGCTATTGAGGAGGAAAACAAATATCAGGGTAGAGACGCAGCTTTAGACACAATATCAGAACGAATCATAATTAATTTAAATAATTCATCTGATGAAAGCGAGGATGGGGATGATTGTGATATGCCTGGGGTTGATGAATTATTAGAATAAAACATTTATGGCCGGAGAACACCTAATTCATACACGTCTTCACTGAAGTGAAAACCGGCATTCACTGCTTGTAATATTTGGAACTGGCTTATCTGCCTCATACAGTTCCATAGATTACAATGCAGTGGATACACATTTTCACGTCCGTATTAGTACGTAGTGCGTATGCGTAGACGTGTACGCATTTGGTGTGCTCCAGCCACAAACGTATATTACCTTTAAAAAAATAAAAACTAAAAATAAAATGTTGTTTTTTTTTATTTGCTGACCATACACTACTACAAACGCAAAAATTTCTCCAAGCTAATTTACCTTAGCTCAAGCTATCTATTGAGACTTTCCTTATATACTGAACTTGATATGGGCTTAAGCTTTCGGCGTTTATTTGACGGCTATGAGCTTATTTACATATAGTATTTTGTATTCAATACATTATGTACTATGGAAATTAACATTCATATATGGGTATTTTATTACAATTGACGCAACACAGTTTAAAGAATTTAAAACTTTCACAAGAGCTTAAAGCATTATATTTGAGACGAGCTGAATACAAATAATATTATGTTGTTGTATAATGTTTGAAAAGGTAATATGCCTTAACTCAATAAAGTCTTCATACTGAAGAAAAAACTTAATTCATATGAATGACGGAACTAGTTTCGAAAAAAATCTTGGCGCCAATTAGAAGTAAATCTAATGGCGTTGTGATAACTAAGCACAATTTATACAGTATTAACATGGTCTCGTATTTTACCATTAATATACATTGTAAAACATTTCATAACACTCGGAACTTTTAAACTAAAGAAAAATATGAATGAGATTATACTGTTATCTCGTTCTTCGTAGTTAAGAAGAAAAGAGATAGATACAGGTTCAACAGTTGCGTCGGAATTTCTATACTGCTACGAATTTATAACACCAATATTGTAAGTGCCAACAGACACTCCGTCCCTTCGCGGGTTTTATTTATTGACAACTTCATATAATATATAGACAATACAGTCAGCGTTTAGTAGTGGTTTGAAAATACACTTTTACCGAAGGAAAATGCGTAAACTCTCTGACTGACGAGGATTAATTCTGGAGTTAAAAAATAAAATTCCAATAAAAACATTAAGGTATAATTGTATGTGTGTATAACTTATATATACGTAAGATTAGTAGATTGAGTTAATAAAATAAAATTAATAATTTTTAAAATACGTTCGCAATAACTAAGAAATATATTTCGTCCGAACACAAAACTTTATAATTAATTTAAATATTTTAACTCAATCTACTAAAATTACGTAGGTATATATAAGTTATACACACATACAATTATACCTTAATGTTTTTATTGGTTTTTTATTTTTTAGCTCGAGTAATAATTCTCTTCAGTCAGAGAATTTACGCATTTTACTTAGGTAAAAGTGTAATTTCTAGTTGAGCATGAAAAGACATTAATCAATTTTGTGTTAAAATTTTGTTTTTTATTTAAATTTAGGCTTTTTCGTGTATGAATATATACTACTAAAGGAATTAATATATATTTAATTCCTTGTGCGTCTATCAAATATTATTAATTAAACTTCGATTAAATTCCGATCCAATTTGCAACGCACAATTTCTTTTATACTTTCTATTAAGAATTCTATTAAATCATATTAAATGTTTGCCGTTTTGCTCAAAGGCGTGAAAAACATAAATCGTAAATTTTGAATGTAGTGCCATTAAGATTTTTCACTTATAGTTTTAGTACTTTTGCTCAAAAAAACGTTTTTTGGATGAAAACTAGAAATTTTGAATTAAAGTGTTTTTTTGTCATTTCGTACAATAAATATAAGTTATTTGATCTCTAAAGAGTAAATTAAGTCCCAAGTTGGCTGATTAACGACCCGTTATGTCTTGAAAGGTTTTAAGAAAATGTCAGTGAACATCGGCCTAAAAATTAATTCGCTTATCTTTGTTTATACTTGAGCTCATAATGATTTGCCAAATATTTCAGAAATGTAAATAATTATAAATCTATTGGACCAGTGACCAGTTTGTTGTAGATGTTTCTCGTAGAATCATATAGATTGTTGCTACATGTTGTCTATAGAAATCTATGTATATGTTCTAAGCCGTAAGTTAAGTAAGAATTACGCTCATGATAACTACAAATTTATCATCACGTAAACGTTCGTGAAATTTGAGTATTATTCAATTTTGGGATACAGAACAATGTTGTTAAAAAATCTTTGGAATCCATTTCACCATTACACAACAAACTAAATCAATAATTGTTATTGGTGGTTAGAACTAGAAGTCACGGAAGACTAATTCTCTGTATTTGGATTAGTCTTCCGTGACTTCTATGAAACAAACGGAGAAATTTATTTTCCTATTTCCTCATTGAAGCACCGGTCCACTGGACTTCCTAATATAATATTTTCTATTGATCCCGTTTCTGGCATCCAAGTCAACTAGTGAGATGAAATTTATTGCATTTTGTGTTAGGGAGCGTTCAAGTATTACGTCAGCCAATTTTTGGAGATTATTGACCAAACCCCCCCATGTAACGCGCCGTAACGTTTTTCTGTACCCAAGTACAGTACTGTACTCAAGTATAGTAAAACGTTTCTTGACCACTCAGTGACTCTTTATACCCAAAACTTACAATTGTGTGGTGTAAAGTACTGGAAAGTCGAAAATAATATTAACAATAACGCATAATTCAATCCCCGCCCCGCATCGTAACGTTTTACAAAAGGGAACGTTTAAAAAAAAATTCGTTACGTAATACTTGAACGCTCCTTCAGCCCTCAGACAAAATTTATGTCTTTTGTATTCTCAGCGCCATCTATGAACACTGATCATTTTGCAATTGGTCTCAAATAATAACATAACTTACGGCTTACTTCTAACATTTTTACTAACTTTGATAATAATTGTTATGAATGTGAAATTTTATTACACGTGACCGATTGTTCAATCGTTGATTATTTATAAAAATCGTTTCACCTTCTTTAGTTTAAAAATAAAATTTTAGTCAAATATTTCAATGATTGAAGTATCGGTTGTTAATGTTTCAAGGATTTGAAAATAATTATGAAAACCAATCAATTTTGGTTAATTTTTATTATATCCGTATTGTTCTTATTTGCACCTTTGACCATATATTTAAATTATATATTACCTTTATACACATTCCCTAGTAATTTCATTGTAATTTAAGCTCCTATAGCTGTAAGTAATTCCAGCTTTGTGTAAAGTTACCTAAGTTAAAGTTTGTTGCCATAATTTAGTATTATTCAATATAACAATCAATTAATAATGGTTTGTCTTTTGTTTCCTACAAATATAGAATTGAATATAACCAATGTAAATATTCTTTTAATCACAACTCTTGGTTTATTCAAAAATTGTTTAATAATATTCAATAAAATAATTTATTTTACCCCTTTAATACGTATTTAGAAACATGTTTATGAGAGTAAAATTTGGACTGTATGAAAATAGGTGAAAAGTAATAAAATAAGCATGAATTTTATTCTTAACAGACTGTATGCAAGAGTGTACTTTCACTGTCATAAACAAACATTTTTAATTATCTAATTTATTTATGTTTTGTCGAATCTTTTAAATCAATATATCTTCCTGTAAAGTTTTACCATGTAAATTATATTTATTTTACAGAGTACCTAGCATAAAAAACTTTATTGTGATGAAATATTTTAATGCCATTTTAGCCTGTCAGTATGATACTTATTAAAATTGTAACCAAATGATGCTATAGTTATTAAGATGTTTTATTCTAATTCAAAAATTTGTAGCATATTAAATGTATTTGTAGTTTAAAACCTTTTTCTATTGTGTATTTCCTGAATAAGAATGCATGAATTACATCATTTCGATGTCTTATTAAGTGTTTTTCTAACTCCTTTTTTACTTTGGCTTAGGATGTTAAAAAGTAACTGATCTATAAGTTAAATCATAAATTAATGACGGAAATAACTACATATTTATATTAAAAGTCAGTTATGAGCTTACAAGTAAACAAAACGAAAGTGTCTTCTACTATTCTGTATTTTTAGATAGCGTGTGGTTAAGAGTGTAACAAAAATATTAGGTAAGCCATTTAAATGACGTTTTGTAATAATATCTCATTATGTTTAAGAGAGCGTACAGCTTAATTTGTTGATATTATATTACTCAAAGTTCTACCGAAGCTAAGAGGCATGATAAATTCAATCTATATTCTTCCTCGGATTTATCGGACTTCACAAATTGCAACAGATTTATTAAATATTTGATTTTAAAAATTAGTTGTACTTGTGCATTAATTAATATTAAATAGTCAGTAGTCTGTGGTATGTCAGTGTCAGAACACAGACGTCATTTCTGTGGAATCTGAATGTCATGTTGAGTCTTGAGATAAGAGTATTCAATATTCATTATTCAATAAAGATAACCGATTTTATACTATTAAAATAATAATAAAAACACAATGACATGAGTTTTATCCATTATTGATTACTATATTACACACATGGACATTATAAATATATAACACTTTAGATAGGTCTTTGCTGGGGCAATCTATAATCGTTTGTAATTCTTATTTGTTTTCGCTTGATAACATATTTGATAATAAATTTAAAACAAAAGTATTTACAACGTATGTAATAATAAATTGTTTAGCTGTACATTACATTACAATGACTTATAATTAATAGGTAAACATGTCTCGTAAACGAGTTTTTGATCTGCTGAGGACAATTAATGTTGCTGCGTAAGTATATAAATTATTTACTTTTCCCTCATAAATATATTGTTAAAGAACTTTGTTTATTTATATAAGTTAACTTATAACTTTCATTGTTTTACATTGTTCTTTTTATTAACTATTCTTAAAAACACCATTGAACACACAAAATACTTTTCTTTATGATGCACTTGCTTGAGGTTTCTTTTAAAGATTATTTCAATTAATTAACTAGTTGTATTTATAACATACAGTTGCCAGTGTCCAGCTCATAGCCATAGAGGCAATATACAAGTAACAAACACAACTCCTAGCAAAGATTATGCTTTTGAAGTAAGTAACTGAAAAATATGCATTTATTCTATCAGCTTCCCTAAACAATAAAAATATCTTAAGGCATGAGAAAATTAGTAAAATCATATCTTAAATGTTACTTGATGGAGAAACAAAAATTAATTTTTAACATTATAAATTTAATTATATATTTTAATAACTGATATTTTAGATCAAATGTTCTACTGTAAGATATGGCCTGGGAGTCACAAAGGAGGTTGGTTTGGACTTGTTTAATCTTGGAGCTAAAAATGTTTGTGTAATGACAGATCCTAATGTTGTATCTTTGAGTCCGACTAAGGCAGTTCTTGATTCTCTCACCAAACATGGGATTCATTACAAAGTTTATGATGGAGTAAGGGTGGAACCAACGGATTCTAGGTTAGTATTAAATAGATCTTATATTATGCTACAATTTTATTTCTATTAAAATAGAGTTCTAATAGCATTAGAAAATGAATAATATTAAAATAGCCTCACCATAGTGGTTTCTACCATTGCAAAATAAATTAAGCCATGGCATAACTGCATTTGAATTACTGATGTAGTAGCATTGCACCTATTGCTGTGAGCAATTATCAGTTGTACAGTGAAGGAAAACATTGTGAGGAAACCGGCATGGCTTGACCCAAAATCTATGGTGTGCATATAGGGTAATTCGCCTACTTGTCAACTAACAAAAAATTTATCAAGAAATAGATACAGAAATTTGTGGCCAAAACTAAGGATTGTAGCACCAGTTCTTACAAAGTATAAAAAAAGAATTCTATTTAAAATTCCAGCTTTAAAGCAGCCATAGACTTTGCAAAGGCTGGCAATTTTGATAGTTTTGTAGCTGTCGGAGGTGGATCTGTAATGGATACCTGTAAAGCAGCTAACTTGTATTCTTGTGATCCTGAGGCAGAATTCTTGGATTATGTAAATCAACCTATTGGTAAAGGAAAAGAGGTCACTGTACAGTTGAAGCCATTAATAGCCAGTATGTAATTGTTATTCTATGAGTGCAATATTAGGTTAAGTAATTATCAGCTAAAATTCAGTTTATTGCCTTTGTGGTAACTGCAGCATGGCATTATAGTCCACAGCTTTCTGCTTCTATTTCTATATTATTTTTTTGGAGGCTGGTATCTGGTATTTTCAGTGGTTTAAAAACTGTACATATAAAAGCTTCCTACTATTATTTCCAGTACCAACAACCAGTGGAACAGGCAGTGAAACTACAGGAATGAGTATATTTGATTATGAAGCTATTCAGGCCAAAACTGGTATTGCAAATGCTGCTCTAAGACCGTTATTGGCCCTTATAGATCCTCTTCACACCCTCTCTGTTCCAAAAAATGTTGCAATTTATTCTGGATTTGATATTTTCTGTCATGCATTGGAGAGTTTTACGGCTATTCCATATTCAGAGAGAGGGCCTGCGCCAACCAATCCAGCTTTGAGACCTGTTTATCAAGGAAGTAATCCTATATCTGATGTGTGGTCAAGATTTTGTTTACAGGTGAGCCGATAGTTTTTTTTTTTTATAGAACAGGGGGCAAACGGGCAGGAGGCTCACCTGATGTTAAGTGATACCGCCGCCCATGGACACTCTCAATGCCAGAGGGCTCGCGAGTGCGTTGCCGGCCTTTCAAGAATTGGTACGCTCTTTTCTTGAAGGACCCTAAGTCGAATTGGTTCGGAAATACTTCAGAGGGCAGCTGGTTCCACAAAGTGGTGGTGCGCGGCATAAACTGCCTTGAAAAACGCTCAGTTGTGGAACGGCGGACGTCGAGGTGATACGGGTGGAATTTCGTACTCTGCCTCGACGTCCGGAACTCGGCTGCAGGTATTAATCCGAACAACTCCTCTGAACACTCTCCATGGTAAATGCGGTAGAAGATGCAGAGTGACCCCACATCTCTACGCAACGCCAAAGGATCAAGCCGCTCGGAGAGGGATTGGTCGTCGACGATTCGAACCGCTCTGCGTTGAATACGGTCAAGTGGAAGGAGCTGGTACTGGGGAGCCCCCGCCCAGAGGTGAGAGCAGTACTCCATGTGGGGCCGAACTTGCGCTTTATATTTAAGTTTCCAAATTTTTCAATTAAATTTTTTAATTTAAGTTTCCAAAAAATACATAAATAAATACGGCGAAACTTACTTATTCATAACAACTAACTCTGTCTTATAGCAAGCTTTTAAGTCATATACTGTTCATCTGTATCTATCTGTCTGATGAAACGGGACAGGCGAGAGGCTATAAGGATAAACCCCTTTATAGCCTTTCATCTGTATATCTTAGTTATTGTCTCAGTTGCTCAACAGTAACTTATAATATTTTTTTAATAAAACCATCTACATTGGGTCTGTTTTCGAAGTCCGGCTGTACACAAAAGGATTTTCTATGCCCTCATTTAATAAGCTTGTAGTGTTAAAACAAATTACCCAGCCATGTGTCACAGAAAACTGACCACCTACTCGCATATAATGAAAGATTATCAATGATATGTGTGTGTCCCAAGATAATTTGGGGTTACGGGGTTTCATACAGTTTGCGTTCAAACAAACTTGTCACTGGATTCCTGTTAGGTCGGGTTTCTAGATTTGCCCAGTAAATCATTTGGACTTCAGATCTTATCTTATTTTACAGAGTCTAGCCAAATACTTCTCCCGTTCTGTAAACAACGCGGACGATGTCGAGGCTCGATCTAGTATGCACTTAGCGGCCACTATGGCTGGCGTAGGTATCGGAAATGCAGGCGTGCATTTGTGTCATGGACTTGCTTATCCAATTGCAGGAAATGTTAAACAATTCGTCCCCGAAGATTATGGGTAAGTACAATTTTTTTTATCCCAACTAAATAATTAACTTTACAGCTATAAACATTTTCATTATAGGAGTTATGATCAATCCATGTCAACATTTTTTAAACACAAAATAATTTATGTAAGATAATTGTGTTGAATCTTTCAATGGTAATGGTCCAAGGTCAAAAAGTATCAGTGGAGTTACAATGGAATCGAATATACAATGCGCGCCATCTATGGGTATATTAAATAAAAAAAAGACTTTCAAATATAAAATTGATGTAACTGCCCACAGTATGTCCCAACATAAATTTATTTAAAATGTTCTGTATACTATATCGTTGACTTAATTTAGTTTAGCTCATGCGCAGTGATTTACTGTTTTGGGGTCATACGTTTTATGTACAAAATTACGCTGCAAGTTCTGTACGTGCATATGACTGAATTAGGCTGTATCCACACTATAATGCCGTTCACGGTTCGCTCGTGGTCCTGTGATGATGAATGAAAAACAATGTGTGCTAATACTATCTGTAATAGCGAAGGTCTGGTCGAATCCAAAGAAGAAGAATATTTCACCAGACCAAAATCGGACCGAGAACGAACTGTGAACGGCATTATAGTGCTGATCCAGCCTTATAGATAGGTACTAGAGACATTTCTAAACCAGATTATTCTAAATAACAAGAAATTGCATCTTTTAGAAAGGATCCAATAATTCCACATGGGCTATCAGTAGTCGTAACGGCACCAGCTGTATTCCAATTCACGGCTCAGAGTGACCCTGACAAACATTTAGAGGCCTCGAATCTCCTAGGAACAGATATTTCGGGCAAAAAGCAAAAAGATGCTGGGAAGATATTGTCAGACACAATATTGAAATACATGGAAATGATGAAGATTGACAATGGTCTGACTGGACTTGGTTATTCACTTGAAGATATACCACAACTAGTCAAAGGAGCATTACCACAGGTGAGGAATATTGTGTATATATTATTACACTCTTTATATATATTTACTAGCTGACCCGACAAACGATTGTTTTGCCATGTACATATATATTATTTCTAGGAAATATTTTTTTAGTTCCATAAAAATAACTATCTACAATAATAAAAAAAAAGGGGTTGATTGTATAGGGGTGAAAATTAGGGGTTGTATGTATTTTTGTATGCTTTATCATAAAAAATTCTAATTAATAAAATTTTGGGGTGGACACCCCTTATCTCTTAGGGTTTTGAAACATAGAAAGTAGCCGATTCTCAGACTTACTGAATATGCATAAAAAATTCATAAGAATCGGTCGAACCGTTTCGGAGGAGTATGGTAACTAACATTCTGACACAAGAATTTTATATATAAAGAGATTTATTTAAAAGTAACTACTTTATTTCGCGATCCTTTCCGCTTTAAGCAATTCTTGATTCCAGATTACAAAAATATTTTATGCAGTCTAGCTCAGAATGACGCACCAAACCTTTATTTTGGTTTTAAAATTAATGTTAGTAATAGATCAAATAACTGAATTTTTGAGCTAGCTTTAATTTAATGCTATTTAAATTGGCCTCTTTTATTGACCTTTTGTATAATATAACTATAATTAAATGTTGGTTATCAACTAGTTTTCCACGCGTAATGAGTGGCACTCGAGACTATATAAATAATGTATAAATTCAGTCGCAAAGAATATATCAAGTAAATTTGTTTTTAGCACCGTCTCTTGAAACTGACTCCTTTGCCTCAAACAAAAGAAGATTTGCAACACATTTTGGAAGACTCGTTAACTATTTATTAAGTATATCAAGTAAAATAACTTTATTTGTTTGATTTTGCCTGTTATATAGAATTTTCTGGCATGTATATTTTTATAAGAATGTAATATACATTTATCAACGAGTAGTCATTAATTAATGGTGCTATTTTGAAAATAAATAAAGACATGGTGATTAGTGTTTAATTTTTAATAAATTTAAGTACATAAAATAATCCTAACAACTAATTTGTATAATATATAATAATTATGTATATCTTAAATTAATTTGTTGAATTTGACTTCGATTTGTTATTTTAATAATACAAAGCGCTAGTTTGGTACTTTATTCAAAATTGTTCGAAAAATATCATTTGAAGGCACTATCGAAATGCTCGAAAATTTCGTTAGTAATGATTACTAGCGCTTCATCTATCACTTACTGCTTATTTAAGAGTTAACACAGTATTAATGTAGTGTAACATTTGTGCTCACACCGCTTCCGGCACGATATTGCTGTGGTGGAAAGGACTGCTCTCGTAAGACTGCACGCCGGACGCGTTTATTGAAACGTTGTGTAACGGAGCGTAGCGGTTCAACTTAGGTGTTGCGGGGCCTTTTAGATCCTCCGATAGCTGCTGGTACACTAATCCGCAGTCTTTCTTAGTACGCCCCTGGTGACTCATAGCGGCGATTATGGCACTGTTGTACCGGATTTGTTTGTTCCTTCTTCCACACACAACCATCACGACCTTCGCAATAGCGATAAGGAGCAGTAAAGCACTCAAAATTGCAATCAAAATAGGCCACAAGTATGCGTAACGGCTATGTTCAGACTCTTGAACGGATTCGTTCACGTATACTTCAGGTTCCAAATCATCGTAGAAGTTATCGTTTTCAAACAGCTTGATGTCGATTTTCATTTTATCCTGTCGGCTCTCTTCAGTTTTTGGTGCATGTGTAGAAGACTTCACTTCAGATTTTTGAGCTGGTTTTTCCACAAGTTTGACTTTGAGGTCCAAGTTTTGGTCATCATCGTCATACTCCTCGGAATCATCATCTTCATCACCTTCTTCCTCTTCGTCGTCAGCGTCATCTTCGTCCTCATCAGCATCGGCTTCACTATCGTAGCGGAGTTTTGTATCGTCTGCGATTTTACCGTCATCGAGAGTGTCTTTTAAGTCGAAATCACCAACTGTATCTTTGTCAATTCTTTCCCATATTTCTTCATCAGCTGCGGGTAGAGGCTCAATAGGATGAACAATGACACCACTGCTTCCACAAGTTTTTTGGGTGAGAAATTCCCAGCTATATGTTTCAATGTCGTCTTTATTATCTTTAGCCAAGTTGGCGATACTGGCGGAATTTGCGTTGGGAGAAACCTTCTTCTCGCTCAACCATGACATAAGGTTTTCAAACTCCCGACTACATGCAAGTAAATTGTTACTGATATCTAAAGTACGTAATTTCTTGAGGCTGTCTAAATCGGTTTGTTTAATTTCAGAAATGCGATTGTGTGAAACATTCAAGAAGCTCAAGTTACCAAGGCTGGTGGAATGGTTCTTATCGGACTTCCATAGTGCTGTCAGTTCACCGTGACTCATATCCAACCATGTGAGCATAGGTGTATGTATAAATACTTCAATAGACAATACTTTCAACGGATTACCTTGCAGATTCAGTTTTCCTAACTCCTTGTTCTTTTCGAAAACTTTAGCATCCAAAGTCATGAGTTGGTTATGCGAGAGGTTGATTTCGACTAATTTTGGTGATCGTGAGAAAACTTGGTTACTGATGGATTTGATGTTGTTTCCAGAAAGGTTTATTTGAGATAAAGCCGTAAAAGTCTTCAAAGAGTCATCAAAAATTTCATCAAGACCGCAATTGGCTGCTTCAAATAGGTAAATATTAAATTGTTCTGCAGAGCATAGAAAACCATCTTTGGGCAGGTGTTTTAATCTGGGATTGTTTGAAATTTTGAAAATATCCAATTCAATGTTTTGCTTGATAAGTATACTAGAAATGAAGTCCAAGTTGTTAAAAGAGAGGTCGAGATAGTTAAGTTCAACTAATTTGTGGAATGCCTGGTTGTGGATTTTTTCAATATTATTTCCACTAAGGTTAAGGTTAGCAATGTAAGTCATACCGTTAAACATTGATGGACCAACGAATTTTATATTCGTTTGACCAGCGTTCAATGTTAGCAAGTCAGAAATTTGTAGTCCATAGACAGAATCGATAGGATTACGTTGAATATGGAGCGTTGCCAGCTCAGTATTTTCAGAGAATATGTCTTCGGGGAGAGATTTGATATTATTGTCGCTCAAGTCTAACTCTTCCAAGTCGAGCAAACTTTTAAACGTATCAGCTTCCATGTCTGCCAAGTTGTTTCCAGCAAGGTTAAGATACATGAGTCCTGGCATATTCTTGATGGTATTGGCTGTAATGTACTGCATGTTGCAGTAGGAGATGTCAAGTTCTTGAACTGAAGAAGCATTTAAAAAGTATTCTGGTGTACCAGGTTCAGGGAATTTAAGAGGATTGTTAGAAAGCGTCAACAATAGCAGTTTCTTGTTAGTCGCAAACGTTTCATGGTGTAAAGCTTTCAGTTTGTTGTTAGACAGATTTACTGCGTACAGTTCATGAAGACCGTGGAATGCGTTGGGTCCGACGGAGGCAATTGTGCTGTTCACAATTTTGACAGTTGCGATCTGATGCAGTCCCAACTTTTTGAATATGAAGTCACCCAAAACGATAGGTGACTCTGGGTCTGCATTTTCAATAACGAGATCTGTGATGTCATCGCCAAACTTCTGGGTACCAACTTCCAAGCGATTGCACTTCGCTATTCTATAACCTTGGGATACAGTGCATATGCAATCTCTGGGGCACGGCCTGTCTTCATTAAATAGGACCTCCTGTTCATCTCCACCATCGTAATCTTCATACTGGAAGAGAAAGTTGTCGGAGTCTTTTTCTTTTCCGTCTTTCTTGGTTGTTTTGTTGACTGCCTCGCTGATAGCAAGTGCGCACACTGCCAGGAGCAGTAGTATCTCCCGGGACCTCGCTCCCATGTCGTTGTGAACTCTGAAACATAACGCGTATATTAAGTTACGGTATTACTATTAAAAGGCTCGATTTTTGTTACCCTAGTTACGTAAGAAAAAAACCGCTAAACATCAATACAGTCGCCAAACAATGTAAGTATTGTTTCTGTGAACCTGAGCAAAGTTTAAACAACAGTAAAGCAATTAACATGTACACAGATAACGTCTGTGACAGCTGGGGATGCATTAAAACATTGTTAGTTGCGACAAGCGATTACCGCTCATCAATTATGTTATTAGACTTATTATAAAAGAAAGAATTTAGATGTCGATTAATTGTTTACACTTTTTGACGCAATAGCCGAGTTTATAAGTAAAGTTAGGGCACCAGTTATTTATACAAAGTTCTTTATTATTATTTTATTATTGAGTATTGGAAAGCTTTGCTTTAACTTAAAATTTCGTTACAATACTCGTTTTTAAATACAACGCCAATTTGCAATGGCTGTGCCATATTATCATTCAAATGGTTTCAAAACAGATGTTTGTTTTGTGTGAAATCTTATCTGGCATTTGTCCATCTGTCGACTTCTCATTACGTCGAGATATAGAATCCTTTGTTACACAAGTTTTTTTCCAAATAACAGAGTTGTTGTTTATTCGTATTGAGATTATAGATATAATGGAGACACAAACAGCTACATTAATGGAATCAGACAATTGGTCCTTACATATAAGTCCCTTTATTTTTCAACTTTATTTGAATGTCAAATTAAAATAACATCGATTTGTAATATAAAATATTTTATTCGTTAGCCATTTCAATTGTAAATTATAAGTAATAATAGCAGGTGATACAACACATGCTTTTTAAAATTCTATGTACAGCTTGTGCATCTGTAGCTGTTCGACATGTAGTCCATTGAAATGTTACAATTCGAGGGCCAAACTGAACATTTGTTAGAGGACGCAATTTTATTTATGGGACCTGTAGCCCCCTACAGGTCCCATAAATAAAATTGCCAAAAACGTGGTTTTTGGACCCCTTTATCCAAGATGGCGGCCGGGGGACAAGCACGCCAACCCCACCAACTTGGAGTTAAGCTTGTATTGACCCCCCTACATGTTCCATAAATAAAATTGCGTCCTCTAAAAAACGCAACCCCAAATGTAACTTTTCAATGGACTAATGTTTTTTATATAATATTGAGTTTTCTTGCACTCTTTATTTTTACAAGATGTTTCTTTTTTATTATTACTAAATCAGAATTATTGATGATGTAAGCTGTTTGTATCATTATGTTTGGCATATGTCAGCAATCTGGCACTTAGCATACAATCGACATACATTCGTGTGCGTGCAAATATGCATATCGTCCTAGCCAACTGCGGCGCCTGATATATTATTATAAACATTATAATCCTGCATTTGACCCCGATTGACTTTATCCTTTTCCTATTAACGTACTGGAGGTTATATGCGGTTTAGAGATTGAAATATACACTTCCTATTTAAGTCTAACATTATTCGTAAAACCTAAATGAGTCTAATTGCATTCAATATTTAAGGCACATCCGGCTTTTTATATGTAATTGTGTGAACGCTATGATAAAAAGAGACATGAGCACTTAAAACAGTACAATTAAACTGATTTATTTTTAATAACTAAGGGTTTTAATCATTATTTCGTGGATACAAATAAAACAACGTCTAGAATGACGCAAATAATAAATAATTTAAGTTATTAAGCAATTAAAATAAATCATAATTGGCTAATTAAATATAAAATAAGATACAGAATATGTGAGAGATGTTAATTAATACGTAAGTATAATATTTTTTCCTTAAGGATTTGGAGCACGGCAAAAAATTGGCGTATAAGAAAACGTGTGACGCTTAAGGGAATATGAAACTGAATTCGCGTAGCAGTTAGCATAACAGCCGTTTAATAAAGCCCTGGGTGGATGAATTCATCTCCAACACAAAGGTAATTTTGCAAGATCGCGTCATGGTACAATTTGCAATGAGGGCATTGTTAATAACACGTGTTCGCCTTAATCAACTCTATTCCAACAAATATACGGGTCAAAATAGTTAAACAAGCGAGGGTATTTAACGTTTCTGTCAATGTTTGCAGAGACAGCAAAGGAATTTGTTTGAACGTTGTAATGTCCTCTGAGCATTCTGACCTTTATTGCTAAGCAGTAACGTTATAAAAGGTTATATTTGGCGCCCACGACTAGTCATTAATGATGCTTATTTTGCAAACTATTGTTTCGACATAGTTCTCGATGTATACCAATTAGTTAATTAGGTATAAGGAAGCAAACAAGAGATACAGAAAACTGAGAATCTATCAACTAGACTAGAAATTTTAATATTTACTAGTCGGTGTCATATATTTCATAACGATTTCGATATGTGAGGCACGAAATATTGCGCCAATATTGTTGCATTGTGAATTTTATAGTTTTTCTTATCATTTCTATTATTGGCGAAGCCTTAATATTTAAAACAGTAAATGTGTGTTTTAACTGTCAAGATTTTCTTCAATCCATCTGTTGCCAGTAAACTATTATTAAAATTTATTTGTTGTTTATTATTATTATGTTTTAATGTCATTGTGTTTTTGTTTAACAAACTACATATAAGGCTAATATAATAATATAAAATATAGTTCTTGTATCATATTAAAAAAAAAAATTGTTATAATTTGACCATTTGGTCTAAAAGGAAGAAAGGTTACGGGATGTCATCTATAGGTAGTTAAACAGGAATTTTATAACGAAAAATCCTTCCTCGAGACTCAGTAGTTTATGCGTTTCCGTACATTACCTCCACTCCACATTATCCTTTGATAAGTAAGCTACTAACGATAATTACCTATTGAGTATAAACCCAGCCTACTCATAAAATGCTAAAAAATAGCCTTTAGGTTACTTCCGCGTTAGTAAATCCTGGAGTAATTACTTATTACTTAAAGAACTGGATATAAAGGTTTCGTAAACGCAAATTATTTAACTGAATATTATGATTGCCTCCTTGTGTCTTGGTATACAACTTGGCCATATTGAGAGAGTTGCGGAAAATTTAGTTCTGCGTAACTTAACAAATCGTTTAACAAAGCATCTAAATATAATAGAAAAAATCTATCAATAAATCTAATCTAATCTAAATGTTATTTTGGTATTGGTTAATTTGTATCTTACCTCTATGACTTCGTTCAGCCTCTAAGCGACGTTCTTTTATTAGATCCTGAAACAAATAAAAATATATATAAAAATCGTTTTTTCTTTGGACTCTCGTTATGAAAAAGTGAGCTTCTGTATTAAGGATTAACAACTATTTTGAATAAATAATAGAATAATTAAAATAAATATTTTTTTAAATGTGTCTCCTATGAACACAATTAGCATTATTGTTCCATGAGTTATTTAAATTTTCATCCGTTTTTATTACTTTGATGCAACCAATTTTTATGTAATGCTTAATCCTTGCTTTTTTCAGTCACAATAAACACCCTAGAAACTCTACATAACTTTTCCATCGAAACCGACTATCGGCAAAAAAGAATATTGACTTATAAATCAGCAAAGAACTTGGGCGTCAACTGTGATACAGTTTTCCTAGAACATATCTTCATATGGACTTTGATGACGGACGTGAGCAATGACAAAGGCTTTGTATATCAGATGTTTCCTTTAAGTCGGTGAGATAAACATGCAGAGCGCAATATAGGTAGTGTCCAAATAAAACATACCAATAAAATACCTACCAGTAATGAGTAGATTTCCAGCCGAAACAACATTGAAAATTTACATTATGGTTCCGCGAGGAATCACATACTGGGAGGTTGTAAAATTATTGCCAGTGTATCGTATTGCAAATTAAATTCATAAAGATTAGTCCAACGTGCTGGTATTCAATAAAATATTATGTTATAAAATGTATAATACACAACTGTCTGGACTTATAAAGGTGAGTGTACACTACTAATTAATAATAGTTTTTAATATATAAATAATTTGTATTAGTAGTCATAACACCCAAATATACATACAAATTATCCCGAAATTTTTAAGTATACTTATATAATTTATGGGTCTACCTTCTAAATGCTAATTATTATAAACGATTAAATACGTCTAAGGCCACAAAGGCAATTAATTTATTACGTAAAAAAATAGTTTACCTGGTGTTATGTTTCTGTTTATGCATCGGATATTTACTATCAAATTAAAGAGCTTTAAAAGCTTGAATGAAAAAATATCAAATATATAGTTTTTACTCTATTTGTATCCTACTTGGCAAATACGTGTTAGTGTCAACACACAAAAACGTAAAAATTATTGTCCACTAGAATTAACCAATGTGTTGATGCGCCCGCGCCACTATGCACAATATCGAGGCCAAGAGGCGAGTACACAAACTGGTTTGAGCCGCAGCTAGATTGTAAAATATGAAGGAAATGGAGGCGTATCGAGTTGAGTTCAATATGGTGTAAGTATGAAAAGTGTAATATGAATTTCTCCTCTTGCATATCGCTCTATTTCACTCAAATTGTATAGGAGTAATCCACGTGTTTCACTCTACAGTCGTTAGCTCATGTCTTAGCGTCGTGGTCAGCAAGGAAACATCTGAAGCGGACTATCTACTTCCACTGGTTTCTGTCCAGTGTCTCTCTTATTGTACAGTTTTGAAGACTGAGTCTTTCACTGGATTGGTCTATCTGGTTGGTTGGCCACGTGATCTTTTGCCTTCTGTGTAACCAACCACGATAATTCTCCAAGATCGCATCGCCTCTGCCACGTGACATAATTCTAAACAAGATTTAACAAGTTTAGGTCTTACGATATACGTTTGAATGTTGAAACGAAAGGTAAGTTAGAACCATAAAGATTAATGTGATATTGCTGTTTTCAAAATGTTATAATTTGAGTTGATTATCGTCACGTGAAAATTTCCTTTTCATGAAAAGCCATTTAAGTATTCCTTTTAGTTTTTGGTCATCAATCCCCAACAGAAA